CAGACATACATGTATATATACATATATACATACATATATATAGGCAAATGTTACAGAGAAAAGGATGTTGTATAATTTAAAAATTCTTATAAACGACTTGATATGATTCAGCCTTTTGAATTTCATGATCTAATAGTTGCCAAAGATTGTTTACTGGTTACATTTAATATTCATCAAGAATAATTTAGTCTCTGATTTAAGCATCCTGTAGAAAGTGAAACAAACATATTGTTAATTTACATGACTCTAAAAAACTTTGGTTAATATTTTAAAATAGAACAATTCACAAGGAGAAGGACAATTTATTCTTGTGGGCTAACATCAGTTCTTTAGAGTTTCGAGATCAATAAATTTGTATGATTCAATCAGACTTCATCATATATCTAGCAATATATGTTACTTTTACTAATTGAAATGAAATTATGCTACGAAAATGAATTTCAATAACATTTGTATTAGATAAATGAAAAAGAGATCAAGTTTTGTCGTATATGACAAGTGTTTCTTTGAATTACAGAATATATCTAATATCAAAGGTTTTTACTATTGCCTCAAATAAACATGAGTGAAATAAACGTGTGGTCAGAATGCACTTGCTTTCTCAAGTCTGTTCTGTTTTTTGTTACAGTACTTTTATAAACATAATGTGTAGATTATATATATATGATTCAATTTCATTTATAAAAAAGAAATGGCCATTTCTTAAAAATTAAATGTGAATGGCCAATCCAAATTACTAATTTCACAAATTAAGTGTTGCTTGGTAGATAAAGGCAATTTTCAGTTAAATTGTATTCTTCAGTAGTGGGTCTCTCTTACCATTCACAGCTGGATTTCAGTGTGTTTAGTGTGATAAATTGTTCTACTAGCTTTGTCTCATCTCAGCCAGTGTTTTTACATTGTATCTAAATGTCACTGAATGGCCAGACTTATAAAAGAAAACTCTGAGGCAGGATATACGTGCCCAGACATGTATATATAGACCCCACATAATATTCTTCTCCACCTTAAAGCCTGAGTGAAATTTTTTAACATAGGCACAGGGAACTGGGACAGGAATCATGCAAATTTGTAAGGTAGTTAATAGGAAGAGGAGGAAACACAGAAGGCTTTGAGAAAGCCAGCATGTGGCCAGAAACAACAGCAGGTGTGGACATATGGCAATCAAATTAGAAAAGGGATTCTTGCCACACAGCCTTCCAGAAGAGAGTAAAGCCCCAGCGGCCCTCATGGAGGGATGATTTACTAAGTACACTTTATGTATTTTATATTGCCTCTTTCACTATTCAGTTCCAAAGGAAATGTAAATCTATTCTACCAAATAGATATAAAATTTTTTCTTAATGAATAAAAATAATCATTTTGAGTTGCCTTTTTACATTTAGAAAAGATTGCTATGCCAAAAGCACATTTCCAAATACAGCATTAGCTAAGCTGAGACCATTTTCAAAAAAGCAAAGTTTGCAAGGCTGTAATTTAATGATACTATTTTATTTTAACAAAGCATTTGGTGAGATTATTTAAAATTTTAAAATTCCCTTAGTCCAAGACAACCGTTAATAATATAATTAAAGATATTTATTTAAGATCCCTTAACTTGTAAAATAATCTTCTATAGAAGATTATGGAGCACATTTTCCTATTAAGAATTTTTCTGTAAATGTGTTTTAGTTCTCAGATTAGCTTTCAAAAACTTATTTGACCTACAAAATAACAAGAGCTGCATTATTAGCAGTCCTTCTTAAAATGTATTATTACCATTATATCATGTTACTGTAATTTCAGCAGCATTCACCAGCTACAATTGTGTGTGTGTGTGTGTGTGTGTATCTGTCTGATCTGTATCTGTCTGATCTAGACTGGGAAACTGTCCATGTTTTGGTTTTGTTCTTCATTGTTTTTTTGTTTTTGCTTTTGTTTTTGTTTTGAGACAAAGTCTCATTCCATCTGGAGTGCGATGGCACGATCTGGGCTCACTGCAATCTCCGCCCCTTGGGTTCCAGCGATTCTCCTGCCTCAACCTCCCAAGTAGCTAGGATTGCAGGCACGCACCACTATGCCCAGCTGATTTTTATATTTTTAGTAGAGACGGGATTTCACCAAGTTGGATGTGGAGGCCGGTCTTGAATTCCTGACCTCAAGTGATCTGCCTTCCTCGGCCTCCCAAAGTGCTGGGATTACAGGCGTGAGCCATGTGCCCAAGCTCCTTCATTGTTTTTACCCTTCGGGAAAATACAATCTTTGTTCAGGACCCAGAAAGACCCATGAAAATCTTCCTTTCCCAAGAGTTTCTTTTCTGTCTCTCTCTCTCTCTTTCTCTCTCTCTCTCTCTCTCTCGCTGTCTCTCATACACACATACGCACACTCTCTCTTTTATTAGGGCTGTAACAAGATAGCCTATGGTCAGAATGAAGACTATGTTCATATTTCAACCTTGAATTCTCTAGTTTGTTTCTGCTTATATTTGGCACCACACTTCTATGTCCTATGATCGAGTTTTCTGAACACCACCACAACAAAAGGGTAACTAATTATCCAAACAAACCAATAGTTTTTAACTAAGCATTGATTGCTTCACTAATAGCATTTTTTCAAACAGGATTGTTGTGTTTACTTTGAATATAGAAATTACCTTGTCTACATAAAAAATAGGAACTTGCAGTTACTTTCTTGTTAGAGTGCCTGTTGTACTTCTACTGAAATTAGTTTACATGTGGTTAACTTAATAGAAGGCCAGACTTCGTTTTTGGTTTTTGTTTTGTTTTTGTTTGAGACGGAGTCTCACTCTGTTGCTCAGGTTGGAGTACAGCACCACAGCCTGGGCCTCCTGGGCTCAAATCATCCTTCCACTTCAGCCTCCCGAGTAGCTGGGACCACAGGGATACACCACCATCCCCAGCTAATTTTTTTTTTTTTTTTTTTGGTAGAGATGAGGTCTGACTATATTACCCAGGCTGGGCTCAAAGTCTTGGATTCAAATGATCCTCCTGCCTTGGCCTCCCAAAGTGCTGGGATAACAGGGGTGAGCTGCTGTGCTCACCCTCTTCATTGCTTTAAAATAGGCTTTTTGTTGGCAATTTGTTTTGGTTCAAGGCTTTTTTATTTTATTTTATTTTCTTAAAATCTAGCTCTTAAAATAAGTTTACAGTTATAGCAAAGTAAAGGAAGCCAAAAACCATAATTAACATCATTGCCTCCACCACTCAAATGCTAACTGTTAGTATTTTAGTGTATTTGCTGTCAGTAATCACTAACCTAAAACATATGGCTAAAGCCCATTGGGTCCACTTCTAGGTGCTCTCTACTCTTATGTGGGAGGAAACCACTGACATGAGTTTGGTGGGTTTCATTCCTTTCCATTAAATAATATATATATATTATATATATATATATATTATATATATATATATAATATATATATAACATATATTTTTGATGGAGATATTTTACATATATATATATAAAATATATCTCCATCAAAAATATATTGTGTGTAGTTTTTAATGTCTGTGGTGTGTATCTTTAACATATATATATATATAGGCTATTATATATACATTTGATATCGTTTATATTCTTTATCTTACGTTTTTACTCAACTTTTTTTTTTTTTTGAGGCAGGGTCTCACTCTGTCACCCAGGCTGGAATGCAGGTGTGAGACACCTGCATTCCAGCGTCAGTGTGATTTCAGCTCACTGCAGCCTCAACTACCCGGGTTTAGGCGATCCTTCCACCTCAGGCTTCTGAGAGGTGGGACTACAGGGACACACCACCATGCCCAGCTAAATTTTGCAGAGACAGGGTTTCACCGTGTTTCCTACGCTGGTCTCAAACTCCTGGGCTCTAGTGGACTGCCTGCCATGGCCTCCCAAAATGCTGGAATTACAGATGTGAGACACCACGCCCAGCACCCCACTTTGTTTTTTAATTTATCCTATTGACATATGTAGACCTACTTCTCCTTTTTAACTATTTTGTAACATTTCATCTAAGGAATAGAAAATATTGTATTTATTCATTCCTTTTTTGATAGGCATTTCTAATTTCCCTTCTTAATAGTTTTTCTGTTATTCCATTATTACTTATAAGTAACTTTTATAATCACAGAAATATTTGAGTCCTTAGAATTTGCACATTTTTATTATATACCAAACCAGTCTTGAATATTTACCGCTGGAGATATTTTCTTCTTGATTATGCCTCATATCTGGCAAAATGGCAAATAATTCAATATATTATTTTTAACATCAAATGTAATTTGTTCAAAATTTACATTAATCTTTATCATAACTAGTCACTTCCATTTTGTCTTCCTGTCATCCTGAAGAATGAAAGTGGAATTTCCCAGAGGTTTTAAGAATTGGAGGAGTATTAAATGTAGCTGAAATTAAGTGATTAATAATTTACTTTTGGGTCATTAATCAACTTCATGGGATGCTAAGGATCATTTGCAACTCCAGAAGCATGAGCAGTAACAATGCACCTTTTAAGACTCCAGAAATCTCAAAGGTTGGCTGCCCAACCTAATTAAACTTCAATCTTCTGATACCAAATTTATTTCTTCTTTGTACTGCATTCCTCAGATCTTCCTGACAGGAAAATGTGACTTTGCCCGACAGCTGATAGACAGGTTATGTAGCACCATAACTGAAGAGAAAAGGATAGCTTAAAGCTACTCGATTTAATGGCTACGTGTATGGCTTTTTCTTTCTTTCTTTCTCTTTTTTTTTAAGTTTCTATGACAGACACAAAAGGCCTTAGCAAATAGGCCCAGTGCCATTTTTTCCTGCTTCCTCCAGGGGTAATTATCTTACTCCATCAATAGTGCTGTCAGAAATTGGGCACATAATTCAGCATTTAAATGAACAAGCAATGTAATATTTCCTGTCTCCCAGGGGAATGCTTTGCAGCTCACATTCTTCTCTGTCACTTGCTCACTCTTGATGTATGTCCCATACCCAGTCCTTGAATGCCTTCTCTCCCTTGTGTCTCATTGCAGATGTTGGCTCCGACTTGACACCTACTTCATTTGGAGTTTTATAGGACCAGCAACCTTGATAATTATGGTAAGAATTCCTAATTAACTCTGTGTTTCCCAGGTCAAGAAATAAAACTTTCACTATCCCAGTACTGACTATCTTTAATTTACAGAGGTTAATGTGGGGAAAGCATGTACTTATTTGACCCTACATAATTCAAGCAATTAAACACTCATTATAGTCTACTTTTATGTTGTAAAATAGTTAATCAAAACTGTTGGAATAAGAAAATATGCATTTGCAAAATCTTATGCAATATAATAGCTACTCAAGGGTCTAATCCAACATAATCCATTTGGTTCTATAGATATTTGAACAGTGATGAGTTTAAGTTTGACAGTAGTGTATTTCCATTATTTTTCTTTTGAATAATTTGAATTGGAAACTGACAGAAATTAGAAAGATGAGAAAACACCTGACTGTTCCTATCAACTTTGTTTTATATATGAATCTTGAAAACTTTAAAATTTAAAAGCAAAACTTTAAAATTTTACTTGAGAATGGCACAATCACATTAGATATATATTCTGGAATCATATTTCCTTTTCTGTTTTGAGATTCATAATATTTTGGTTTCAAAAATGAATTGTTTAACTTAATTTAGATTAAACTGTTAGTATAATTGTTTATATAGTTATTTTAAAAATAAAAGTTGTTCTCCATCTTGTGAATAAAATATTAGCCTATTGATTTTTGGATAAATATAGGTGTACAGTTTCTTATCCGAAACGTTTGGTACAAGATGTATTTTGGAATCAGAAAATTTTCAGACTTTGAAAAGATAATATGGTACATATACTGCATAATACACAATATCCCTAGTGAGGAATAGGCAGTTACCCAAAATCAAAACATATCAACCAATACTCACAGTGACTAGGGAGCACTCTGTAACTGAAGACAATATTTCACCAGAAAAAAAAAAAAAAAAAGGAAAAAGGAAAGGTAAGAGCAAGTAGTAGAAAGACCGTAGACAGCCTTTGTCAGTTCAAATTAGGTTTTCCCACCTTTTAGATTTCGTTCATGTCAGGGACCACTGAATGGATTTTTTTAAAAATAACTCTCACTTTGTAGACTTTTTGGATTTGGGGATGATTGATATAGTATTGTGAATATGTATTTTTGAAAGAATTTCAGGAGGGCTTTTATTGCCAAGTTGTGGAATGTATAAATTAATCAAGTGGTAAAGGGCAATTCACTATGTGTTTTGTTAAATACAGTTTAGTTTTATGTGATATATGAAGTTTACATGAGGACTTTACTTCTGTTTTGTTTTAAATTTTATGCTTTCTCTGTTTCCAGTGATATGACAATGCCATTGGGGATTTCTTTTACTTTAGTCCTTGTTTATTATAGCACCAGAATTTAGCCAACATTTTATAATCCTTTTGAGCCAGCTACACAAAAATATATTGATTTTAGTATTTGTATTTTTGTAATATAATATTTGAAAATGTGTCACTAAACAATAAATTCAGACAAACATTCAGAGTATAGAAATAGAAACACATCTTTAAAAAAGTATTGTTTTTGTTTTGACACACACTAGGCGTTGAATTGTTTCAAAATTTCCACAGCATCATTCCAGCTGATGCTGATTTTGTATTTGTGTGATTTGACATAGCAGAGCTTTGTAACTCAGCGGTATCCCAATTCCCAAAACTGGCTTCTTGCCTTTACTACAACGCCAGGCAGTCATCTCTGATCCAATTCCTTTAAAAGGGTAGTGAGACCTAATTTCCCAGAACATCTCATCTGTTACAGAGAATAGATTTTGTTCTTGTTTTTTTTCTTACTCCAGTTATGCTACATAACACTACCTTTTGCATTCCAGCTTAATGTAATCTTCCTTGGGATTGCTTTATATAAAATGTTTCATCATACTGCTATACTGAAACCTGAATCAGGCTGTCTTGATAATATCAAGTAAGTGATTTTTATTTTTGTTTTCTATAGGTTGCCTTATATTTATACTCCAAACTATCCTTTCTTTTATGTCAAAATCTTATGACAAAATGATAAAGAATATGCGTGTATTATCTTTGCTGAATAAGATTATTCATTGACCGTCAAAGTGACTTGATCTGCCTGAAAATAAGTATAATAAAGTTCTGTTTTCAAAGATACTTTTTCTCCTAAATTCTTATCTAGAACATGTTAATTTTAAATATATATATTCATTTTGTCCCAAAAACAAACGCAATGTTTCTATTTAGGACAGATTATTATTATTATTTTATTTTAATTTTTTGAGACAGAATTTCACTCTTGTTACCCAGGCTGGAGTGCAATGGTGCAAACTTGGTTCACTGCAACCTCCACCTCCCAGTTCTAGCGATTCTCCTGCCTCAGCCTCCCAAGTAGCTGGGACCACATGCACCTGCCACCATGCCTGGCTTATTTTTTGTATTTTTAGTAGAGACAGGATTTCACCATGTTGGCCAAGCTGGTCTTGAACCCCCGACCTCAGGTGATCTGCCTGCCTTGGCCTCCCAAAGGTCTAGGATTATAGGCCTGAGCCACCATGCCCAGCCAGATTATTCTTTCTCAGAGCAATTACCACATTACTTCCTCACACTCCATCTCCTCATCCAGAGCAATGTGATGAGAGCCAGATGATTGTATGCACAAGTACCAAAAGGGGGATTTTACATCATAGAAAAGGAACCCCAGATTTATGAATCTGAGCATTTATATAAGGGCTGTTAGACAGCTGCCCTCTCCTTCTGAGAGAAATAAAGAAATCTTCCTAATGTAAACAGATATTTTGTCATATAAAAATATGGCTCTAAATTTTACCTCCCTTTGAAATATTAACACTTAACCTTCTGGGAGCTAAAGCTGAATCTCTCCAGAAGTCTTTATCTATTTAATCATCTTACAACTTTGAAAGTTTGTTTTTTCACCCAAGTTCCACTTTTGTATGCTTTGAAAGTCCTGTCATGCAACCGTATGAAAACATTCACATTTTTTTTCAATAGTAGTAAGACTTTATATAGGCAAAAACAAAGTAGCTAATTTACATTTCCTGAAAAGAAAAATGGTTGCATTCCTTGATATAACAAAAAAACTTATCTTGTTTCTTTGGAGTGTATGATATTTTAGAAAGATAGTAATATTTAGATGTATATTAGTTATTAAGATACAATATATTAAATTTCATTTTTATGTAATTTGTCTATGCTAGTGTTATATTTGTTAAGAGCTTTTATTTAAATGAATGTATTTTCAGAAGTTTCATGAGGTAACCTGTGACTTTTCTGTGCTACTGACATTCTCCTTGAACTACTTCAGATAGCAATTATGTCACCCATTTTCCATCTTTCTACATTCAGTGCCTGACGGTTCTTGGCCCATAGTAGGCCCTCAATGAATGTTTACAGAATAAAGTAACATATTAAAGACTTTAGTGTCCAGGTGTATTGATATTAAGTAGTTAATTTTGTTGAAGGAATTATTTGTCTACATGAAATATAAAGGATAACCAAGGAATTAGAAAAACTAAAATATAGTGGTACAAAATAGAAATTATTTACAATAAGTGATAGCCTTTTGTAATCCTCAATATTACTTAGTTGAGATAACAGTCATTGTATTGTTGAATTATGTACCACTGAACGGTACTTCTGAAATACAGTATTGGTTTCTTAGATTATTTGTTCCTGATGAAATTGAATTTGGATAAATTAAATAGGCACATAAAATATATTTATCATATTGTAGTTTTACTCATTTTAGTAGAAATTACATATTTGCACCCATTTTGTAGTATAAAATAAAACACAAATAACACTTTATTTGTATCATGTATTTAAATACTGTCAGAAATAAGAGAGTAAGACTTTTAACATTTATGTAACACTGGCTTAAAAAATAGCAGAAAGGATTATTCTTTGTCCTATATTTCAAGTATACTTTTTAGGTGTTTTTTTTTTTTTTTTACTTTTTTGTCTAATTTAGCAAAGACAAAGACTTTTGCTTACCTTTAACTTTATGATTTGTATTTAGTACTGTCACATATTTTTAAATATCAATTTGTTTGTATGATGTTCATATGTTTTTAGGTAATTGGGTTGAATATGATATTATCATTTAGAAAATTAAACACAAAAAATCAATAATTATATTTAGTGGCATTGATAGCATTAAGTTTTATATTACAAAGCAAATAAAGTCTTAAACAAAAATATCTTTTTTTTTTTTTTTTTTTTTTTTTTGAGTCAGATTTTCGCTCTTGTTACCCAGGCTGGAGTGCAATGGTGCAATCTCGGCTCACCGCAACCTCTGCCTCCTGGGTTCAGGCAATTCTCCTGCCTCAGCCTCCTGAGTAGCTGGGATTACAGGCACGCGCCACCATGCCCAGCTAATTTTTTGTATTTTTAGTAGGGACGGGTTTTCACCATTTTGACCAGGATGGTCTCGATCTCTTGACCTCATGATCCACCCGCTTTGGCCTCCCAAAGTGCTGGGATTACAGGCGTGAGCCACTGCGCCCGGCCTAAACGAAAATATCTTGATTTCAATTATGTCTAAACTGATTTCTAGGTTATATTCTTTGGAAAGTATTTAATCTTCCTGAGTCTTCCTCTCTTTAAAAATGATGTAATAATGAAATATACCTGACCATTAAATGGGCAGAAGAACACAAACCTTTGATGATGCTCTTTAAAATTTTAGTTAAAGAGGGAGAGAAATTGGGTAGTTGTTAGAAGGGATATAGAAGATTTTTTAAAATTTGTTTGTTTTTATTTTTATTTATCTATTTTTTTTTTCAAGAGATGGAGTCTTGCTCTGTTGCCCAGTATGAAGTGCAGTGGTGCCATCAAAGCCCACTGCAGCCTAGACCTCCTGGGCTCAAGTGATCCTCCCACCTCAGCATCCCTAGCAGCTGGGACCACAGGCATGCACTGTCATGCCTGGCTAATTTATTTTTATTTTTTTATAGAAATCGGCTTTCACTGTGTTACCCAGGTTGGTCAAGAACTCCTGGCCTCAAGCTAGTCTTCCGCCTCAGCCTCCCGAAGTGCTGGGATTACAGGCATGAGCTCCGGCACCCGGCCAAGGATGGCTTTAAGATGAAAGAAGTATCAGTATATATATGTTGGTGGAAAAGAACCAGTGACAGAGAAATTAAGAATATAGGAAAGGAAAATTAATGTTGCAGTGGTGATCTGAGGTTGTGTAGAGAATGTGAACCAGAACAGTGGTAGAGCAATTCCACTACACTGGATTTCAGGAAGGATATTTTTCCAGTAAGCTAAAGGAAACTGTGTAGGAGGATCCTTTTCCACTGAGACTGGATGGAATAAATAAGAACAGGTGTGATGCAGATATGTTGGTGGAACTGGGGCGGAGCATTGACTTGAGGGATTTCTGCCTAGTCTCCTCAGTGTGGTGGGAAAGATAGTCTTTGGCAGGATAACAGCACATGTTGAAGGAAAACAGTAGGAAAGATATCTCCAGAAAATATTTCTTAAAACTTTCCAGAATCTGAAGAAAATTTCATTTTATTTAAAATACAGTAGATTAGCGATTTAAGAAGTGGTTGTAAAGAAATCAGCAGGGCATAACTGATAAGGAAAAGTGAGTTAAAAAAGTAATGATTTTGAACATTAAGTAAAACTGAACATCTGTCATTTTTTTAAACAAGAATAAGTCTCTGTATAATATATATTCAAAATGATACAGGAAATGCGAGTGCTTTAAAGATATAAGAAAATTTTATCTGGAAGGTCTTTTTTTTTTAAGTGTATGGGGGAAAGCATAAAAGTTAATGTTTATTTTTTAAAAATTTTTGTAAAATGGTGAACAAGACAGGCCCCCTTGTTCAATTTATTAAGAATAAAAAGCCTTTATTCTTAATAAGCTTCACGTAAGGCCCTTTGGAAGTCAGTGTCTTTCTAAAACGAGTCATTCATTCAATTACCAAATACTTGTTGCTTTGATTATACACATTCTTTCACACACTTATGTCTCCTTTATCTGAAATGTGTTTGCCTCTCCCTGAATTCACTGCCACCATTTTCTTTAAGCCACTACCATCTTCAGAATCAGTGCAGTAGGCCACCTAACTTCTCTGCCCACATCGATTCTTGCCCCTGCCTTCACCAGCTAGAGAGAGCTTTTGAAAAACTGAAATCCAATCATGCAACACTCTTGGGTAAAACTCTTCAGAAGAGCCCATTACTCTCAAACTAAAGGTCAGACTTCCTGCCAAGGCCCATTACACCTCCCTTACCTAGTTGCCTTTTTCTTTCTTCAGCCTCATTTTATGCATTTTGGCCCTCCGGCCATTCTAGAAATGGTCTCTTTTGCCTCAGATCTTATCTCTGCTGTTTCTCTGCTGACTTTCTGTTCCCTAACACTAGGACTGGCTGACTCTTATGTATCCTAATTAATTAAATTGTCATTCTATTATCTTAAAAATTAACTTTTTAAAAAAATTCTAAATTTACTGCAAGTCATCATAGTAAACTTCTTTTGATGTTAACACAGAACATTTAATTGGCTGGCTCATTACTATGTTAATGAATTCTCTGGAAAAAATAATAAAATATAGAGTGAAGTAATATAGGTAATATGATTACAGGGGAAATGAGGTCTGCCCAATTCTTGGATTTAACTAAAAAAGTAGTAAGTAATTGAAATTAAATAATACATTCCAGTTTGCTACTTGCTTACTTGTCCTTCGTTTCTTTTTTTTCCAAATAGGTAATTATAGTCAGCGGAAAGAATTCCAATCATTTGATTCTTCTCATTGAGTTTCTGACAGGTCAAAAATGCTGCTTACAATAATTATAGCAAAACTCTAACCTAATTAAAAAATGCTATATGTAAATATGAGTAAAACTGTTATTGAATTGTTACCAGCACAAAATTAACTTATAGTATGGCTGAAATACAATGACACATGAAACTTTAATTTG